GCTTATATTTTTAGTTCCTCCGCAGCTTTGAGAATGCAATAGACACATTATGTGCTATATACTCGTATCAGGATATAAAAGCGACTATAACGCAATTATTGTTAATATTTTATTAAAATAATCAAAATATACCTTCAACTTCAAGTATTGACTATGTGTTATTGAAATTTATTGAAGTCGATTTTTAGGCGCACTGAGTATTGCTTGCATGTAAGTGAGTGTAAATTCTATTAGGAAATTTTCATATGAAAAGTTATTTTTTATAAAAATAGTGAAAAAACGGATTTAAATATATAATTCCTTTTATATGACAGTTACCAAAACTAACCCCCAACTTTGTGGACTAATACTTTTGTTAGCTGACACAAAAACTGTCAACTACCCATGGCAGCAGCAGTCGAAAGTATGCTACAATTTTTACAATTCTTTTATTTCATATTTTCTAAATATAACATATTTTTTATGTTCTGTTTTATTTTTTGTTTTACTGCATTTTACTTTTTTTAATTTTTACTTTTTTCTTTATTTTATTTATTAAACATATTAAATAGCAGTTTGTGGTCAAACTTTTTAAACCCCGTCCTTGCCATGCTGGTTATTAAGAAATCAACAGTTTTTATTTATATAAAAAAAAACATATTCTTTAAAGTTGACATAGAAAAAAGGATAAGAGCCTTTCTAAGGATTATGGTTTGTGCACATTGAACTTTGAAAAAGTTTGGCCAAATGCTGCAGCAAGTTCATGTCAACTGTCAAGCAAGTATTGGCTACTACCATTTCTTTGCTGCAAGGATCTACTGGACATGTTGCTCTTCGAAAAAAAAAAATAAAGGAGAATAAAAGATTTAAATAAAAAAAATAAAAATTGGGTAATATTTTGTTGACTTAAGCACCTTTGGTGTCAATATTTTACTTTACTTAAAAATGAATTTAGGAAAAATAAAATAAGTTAATATTGGCAATTTTTTTTTCATTAAAACTGTATTAATAGCAAATTATAATACTGTATTGTGCTAATATATTAATATTATTTGATTTTTTCTACAACAATTAAAATGATGGCAACGGCCAAGTGAATCAAATGTTAGGCTTTAAAGCATAGACTCACAGGTTCAAAATCCAAGTTTATAGTAATTTGTACCAACTTTACAAATGATTTCTAAAAGACTGGATACTTTCTTCTATTTTCTTTTAATTTTATTTATTTTATTGCACTCTTCCAAATCACCATCTTTAGTCTTCTCAATATAACTTAAGATAAAGTACCCATAATATTACCTTGTTGAGTTTTTAATATAAAAACTAAGTAAATTAAGTTCCAGGTTTGTATAATACATTTAATGAATTTTTGTTTTAATTACATATTAAGAAGAATAATATACATAATAAGAAAATAATCAATATTTTAATATTCAGAAATATCTTTGTGCGTCCATATTTCAGCACAGGATATAGAAATTTTTTCATATTGCTTGCTATACATTAGGATTCCGTTAATTTTCGAAAGTCGGAATACGATCTCGGGGGTCCCTAAACCAATTTTTCAAAAAAAAAAAATTAAAAAAATGCCCATATACCTTAATAGCACCCTGATATACACACTAGAATAATATAAAGAATTCTATCATTCTTCTAACATTCTTTGTGGCTTCATACAAAACTGCGATAATAAACTAGTATTCATATACTTTATTTAACGCAAACTCAAATCCTCAATTTTATTAAATTCTAAAAACGCATATACCTATAAGCAACTTTTTCTTCTCAAATGTCGTTACGCCGAAAGCGATAGATTAAATACTTCCCCAATATTCATAAATATTAACAAATTAAAATGAATCAACAAACATATATGCATTTGCTGATTTATAGCTTTTAGTAATAATATAACATGAAAAAGTGCTATGAAGTAGATGAAATGTGCTATACTAAATCACTTTATATTTAAAGTAATTGCGCAACGATTAATCCATAGTATTATATATCAATCACATATATTTATCGAGTAACTACTCTACAACAATATTATTACACAGAAATGAACTTTTTAAAGGAGTGTAAATGCCCCTTTTTTAAAAATATTTTAAATAGCGTCAAGTCTAATCTTAATTGCGTTATAAAATATATTATACAACGTTAGTGACGGTATGTAATAATACTAAAATGTACCTATTTTGAAATTGCTATTTCTCCATACCTAAGTTTAGTAGCTCACCTAATCAACTAGTCAGTATCTATAGCTTTTGTTTTTTTTTGGAATTTTAATAGGTGATAAACAGATATAAGCTATGAATGGACGCAGTATAGTATTTAGATTGAGATCAACGAAGAGCCAAAATTCTTTTTTAATAAGCATAGATTATTTAAAAAAAATCAAAAAAAACTGTTTTAAGATATATTTTCAGATATTAATATCAGAACTTTTTTATCCACTAAGTATATAAGAATTTTATATAGCAGTGGTGGAAAAGTATTTTTCAGTTCCTAGCAAAGGGGAAACTGTCTAGTTACCAAACATCAATTTTATCCCCGAATTGTAGGGGATATGATTCTTTAGGTTTGAGGTTGATCGCTAGATCAGAAGCCTCGCATGGGGAAAAAACACTCTTTACATAACCTTCTTAAAGAAGATCAAGGTTCATACTGAACTGTAGTGCCAAATAAGTAGAAGATGATTATTATTTACCAAATTTTACATTTGGTGACAAAAACTAAATAAAATTTTAAATAAAATTTATTTAATTTAATTTATTTAATTTAAATAAAATTTTAAATAAAATTTTTAAATAAGTCTGAATTTTATATAAGGTATCTTTAGAAGTATTTAAAAAAATTTTTTTTTAATATTAATTATATTATCAAATTTTACAAAGCATGGTTGAGAACTGAGTTTAATTCATTCTATGTTGAACGGTGTTCTAAATTTAAAAAATGAATATAAAAATGAATATATTATCTTTTTCTGCATATAAGTGAATTCCTATATTAAATACATAATAATTTATAATATCTTCTTAAATGATTCATTACGACACACGCTATTCTGGTGTTTCTGATTCATTACGTTATATGTTAGTAGCAGGTCATTAACTCTATATGGCGCTAACTAAATTGATTCTATTTTTAAATGTTTCATACGATCGTTCAGTTTTATTTCTCTTATGGATCTAATAGATTTCCCTTTTACTTCCGATCGCTTAGTTCTTTTTAGTACGTCTTTAATGGTTACTTTTTTAATAAAATTCCAGTTTTGCGCTGTGCGTTTCACTGCTCGTTGTCATGGCGTTTCATTAGCTCTATTTGCTGCTAACTGAATTCATCAAACTTTGTGGTGTTCACTACGTTGTTCAGCACTTTCTTTTTCCATGATTTTTCTGCTTATATATATCAGCGCTTGGCTTTTTATTCCAACTAAAATATTTTCAGTAAAGAATTATTTTACAATTAAATTTAATGTTAAATAAAATTTAATAAATTTCAATTTTTGATCCGTCAAAATCAATTTTTGTTTTTAAGGGATTTTTGTGCAATAAAATTTGGAATAGAGAAATATTAATAATTTTTTATTGTGGCACATTTGAGTTTTTTTAAACGATTTTAACTTCAATCAATTGGTGAAAAAAACACATATTTGTTTTATTCATGCACAAAAATTGCCAAAACTGTTGTAAATCCAAATGGTTTTATTCCCTGGAGTAAAAAATACTCGTATTTTTCAAGCGTTTTAAAATCCCCGACACTGACGTGAAAAGTTCATATGGTTTTTAAGGTCAACGGTTTTCATCTATTTTGGAATGCTGCATGCATTCACCTTTTGTGTTTTGAGGTTAGAACACAAGTTGAATGATTTCGATAATGAATTTGTTTTCAATTGAGGTAAACTACGATGGATTCAAAAATACCTAAATAGAAAAGTAGTTAAGGAAATACACGAAAAAAATTAAAACCTTTGATAATTGCAACAAATTAATTTAATAGAAAGGTTTCGAACAGTACTAAATGGTAACAACAGAATGTTTATTTATTTTTAATTAATTGAATTTTTGTCCAACCATTCAACTGTTTCGAGTATTGCCAAATACCCGTCCTTAGTGGTCTTGAAATTATTTCTTATATTTATTTGTTCGTAAATTAAATTCGTAAAAGTTTATCGATGAATTTATGCACATAACCAAAAGAGGGGGTTTAAAGGGATGAAGATACCCACTAATTCATCTATAAACTGTATGTATATAAATTCATCGTTGATATAATGTCGGCTGTTATGAAAAACCGGTATAAGTCATGACAGGGCTGTCCAAATTACAGCTCACGGGACAAGTTTCTAATCTATCATAATTACGCAAATTTTCATTTGATATATTTTGGTAAAATCACATTATTTAATTTTTGTTGTATCCCAAAAAAATGAATCCAAAAGAATAATTTTAAACTGAATTGTCATAATTTATTTTTCTCTAAAAAACCAAGTACATACGATCGTATCTGTTCTGGACAGAAACAAAAAGACTATATGTGTTCTGATATAAAAGAATTGATGCATCTACAAGGATTTTATAATTTTTGAAGCACCACAATAGAACTCATTTTTTAACAATGAAAGATATTCCAATATTCCAAAACGCTACTCTACCAATTCCAAGAGCTAATGCTGATAGATCATTTTCTCTATTAAATAATACTTAAATCTCTAGCAGCAAATGTAATTGGTCGAGAATGCTCTTTACAATAATTTTAACTCATAAGGTTGCTACAATTGATCCAAGTAAAGTAATCGAGTTTTAAGAAAAACTAGGAAATAACTTCTACCTTTATCTACTATCCTACATTCTCGACATTAAATCTATATATATCTATATATATTCTTTGTATAGATATACAAATATATAAATATAACTTATATTTTTGTTACTTAGATTTTTTAGTATTCAAACTGATATATATGTATATATATACTGATATATATGAAAATTTTTATTTTATAGATCAACTTTTAATGATGCCCACAGATCTACTATCAAAAAATAGTTAACGTTTCTAGTTTGAACTAATATTTTTATATATTACTGAAGTAAGAGATAACCAGTATGTCGGGAAGCGGTAACAGTGACGAAGACTTGGATTTATCTACTTTGGGTATGCCAAACAAATCGGACCCCATATATTCAATCAAACCTGATTTCATAACGCAATGGTAAGTCGATATTATTTTATATAAGTATAATTAAATCAGTACTATTTATATATATAATCCATTTTTGATTCTAACCTCTCTATCTAATTCAAGGCGTCTAAAGAAAGAGCGTGAGAACTTATGTAAATCAATTTTCAACCGTTTGGTGGACTATAGTGAATGTAAACGATTACTAGAAGCAGCACAACTCTACCGACCATTCATAGGTGATAATGGCGAACTGAATTTATGGAATGCAGATGACTTGGATACGCTTCGAACATATGCAAATGGTAGCACAAATGGCACTAGTTATGAATTTGGATCCACAACTACTGAGGGTCCAGCTTTGGTGCTGCCGCCATTTGAACTATGGCAAACTATTTTAATAGCCTTGTGCCTGGCTATTTGCATTATTTTGACTGTTGGTGGTAATATACTTGTGCTATTGGCTTTCATAGTTGACCGAAATATAAGACAACCTAGTAATTATTTCATTGCTTCATTAGCCGCCACAGATATGTTAATTGGTGAGTATAATTAAGAAGTTAAGGGTGATGTTATATTAGTTGATGTTTTTATTATTCAATTAATAATATTAGTTATATATTAGTTAATATTATTATTATTAAAATTAATGATGATATTATTAATTTATGAAATTAAAATAGTTATGCATAATAAAAAAAGTGGAAGAGCCAAACTGTGTTCTAACTTTAACTTTTTATTCACTACCAACAATTATTTCGACTTAGCTCTTGTTTAGCTCTTTATAATGATTTATATACTTATATATTTTGTAGGTATATTTATTTATTTGAATATAAGTTACTTTTAAAATTATCACTTATTTTCTTTGTCTTTTTCTTCTATAGGCACTGTGTCAATGCCCTTCTACACTGTGTATGTACTCATGGGATATTGGGATTTGGGTCCGTTACTCTGCGATCTTTGGCTTTCTGTGGATTACACGGTGTGCCTGGTGTCCCAGTACACAGTGTTACTGATCACTATCGATCGTTATTGTTCCGTTAAAATTGCTGCCAAGTACCGCAGTTGGCGAACGAAAAAACGCGTCATATACATGGTCACAATCACTTGGATCATACCAGCGCTGCTATTCTTCATTTCCATCTTCGGTTGGGAGCATTTCACTGGAAAACGTGATTTACTACCCGGACAATGTGCGGTACAATTTCTCAAGGATCCTGTCTTCAATACTGCTCTCATAATAGGCTACTATTGGACTACTTTGATTGTGCTGTTTGTGCTCTATGGTGGTATCTATAAAACTGCGTATGAAATGCAGAAGCGCAGTGAAGCAAAGCAACGTAAAATGCAATCGATGGTTGCGCTCAGTGCGGGTGCTATGTCAGGTATGGCCGGGCATGCTGCAGGCATTGGTGCTATAGAAGAAAAAATACTAAAAACTAAAGTAGATATTGGCGATATTACAGATGCTGCTAACGACGCTAGCGCGTTTACAGGTACCAGCTCGAACACCAACAATAAGCGGATGAGTGGTTCTGGACAAGCAAATCCATTAGCGCAGGCGGATATCATCAATGGTGTTTTGGCGGATGTGATAAATGAACAACGTCGCATTTCAGATGCTGCGGATGCGACTAAAAATGGTAAGCGTGACGGTGCTGAATTTGAAAAGAGCGAACGTTCGAGTAGTCCGGCATTTGACTCAGATGAGGAGAGTTCCGTGAACCAAACACAACAACTTATGAATCAACAGAAACTGGCCAATTTGCGTAAGCGTTCATCAATAGGTCTGGTATTTGGTGCACAAGCTGCACTTATAGCCACACGTAGTAAAGGTAACTTAACTCAATGCACCACAACCTCCAAATCCAGTGAAGCGATGGCAAGCGCTGGTGCCATTTCCCCCAATCCAAGCAATATGCTTATGCGTACACAAAGCAAAGAAGAGGTTGGCCATCACACACCAGTTGAGCGACCAAAACGTACATCCTGTACAACCCTCTCCCAAATCTCCGAAACCGATAATGTACATGACAACGTTACCGCAGCACCAACTGCACATAAGAAAAAAAAGTCCAAAGCTAAACAACGCACTGAGACCCCTCTCTCACCGGTCGATATAGCACCAATCGAAGTGCCACAAAATCAAGTGCAGCAATGCTTGGTACAAGCCATATTACCCCCACCAGAGCAATTTCAATGTCCTTCACCTTTTTCCGAGTATTCCGATCGCCCCTTTGGTAACAGCAGCAACAGTGAACTGCACATGACCTATGAACAGATAATAAATACATCTGATTTAAGGTATATGGATGAAAGTTCTGCCATGTTAGCTTCACCCACCACCAATGGCAGCTTAAGTTTCTCACTAAATAACCCAGTTTCGAGTATAAAATCAACAACACAATCGCATCCAACGGGCACAACTCCTCCAAAAGTTAACTCCCGAACAAAACAGAATGCCGGCAGTCCTACGTTTTTGCAAAATGCACTGCAATTAGCAGCGCAGCAGCATAAACAACAAGAGCAAGTACAATCTCAGCAAAAAATCCAAACAACTCCGAAAAACACCTCTCCCACCTCAGCTGAAGTCTTACCCATTACCAACATACCACCTACAGGCATTAATCAAAATGATATTGAAATTGAAAAACATTTACTTATTTCCTATACAGGCATGGAAGACTTCGCCAAAGTGAGAAGAGAGAGCTGTGTCGAAGCTATGTGTCTGCTAGAAGTACCCGCCGAAACAAAAATGATTGTGGAAACAGCGCTAGCTACCGGCATAAGACGTAGTTCTAGTCCTTTAGAAACCGGAAATAATCGCGATACGCCCACCACAGCGGCAACACCAACAGTTGTGACGGTCATAACAAATGGTTTGGATAAAATCGAAGAACGTGAAACATCCGACATAAACAATAAGATAGCATCAACTTCGGGCACTACTAGCTCTGGGTCCACTGGCCTACACAGTGGTGTGACAACAGGTGCTACCAGCACGAACGTAGCGGCAACGACCGCTGGCAAACAGGCGAGTATAAAATCGCAGCAAACCCACACAACCACCAGCCGGAACTCTAGCAAAAGAGATTTTATGTACTCCATTGGTAAGCATTTCAAAAGCAAAAGCAAGAAAGCCATACCGCTGGTAATCGGTGGCGGTAGACAAAAATCAAAATCTGAGAATCGCGCACGCAAAGCGTTCCGCACGATCTCTTTCATTTTAGGTTGCTTTGTGGCCTGCTGGACGCCGTACCATGTGCTAGCGTTGGTGGAGGGCTTCTGCCGAAATCCTCCGTGCACCAACGAGCATTTATACATGTTCTCCTACTTTCTCTGCTATGCCAACAGCCCCATGAATCCCTTCTGCTATGCGCTCGCAAATCAACAATTCAAGAAGACCTTCACGCGCATACTTAAAGGCGATTTGCATATGACTTAAGCAAGCCCAGCTTAGCAGTGTGGCGGAACTCACCAAAGCCTTTTGGAAATGTGTTTCAACTTATGTTCAACTTATGAAACATGGTATGTGTTAAGCCGCATGAGCCCCAGGCAATACATATCAGAAATTATTATTTCTTTTTGAAAAAAAAAAAAAAAAAATAAATAAAAATTTAACTAAAAGGCGCCGGTGAACTCCGCTGCGAAGCACCTAAAAGACTACTCAGAGAAATAAAAGTCAATTGCGAAGCGCTCACAATTTTACAAAAGACACAAAATCATAACAAAAACTGCTTAACAATAATTAAAATATAAATAATTATTTAAAAAATATTCAAAAATAAAAATAAATAACTTAAACAATTAGTAAGAAATTTAGCCTGTAAGCTTTAAACAATTTTAGACAATAAAAAAACCTAATTAATATAATTATATGGATACATATATATATATATATAAATATTAAATTATACATAAAAGTCAATCTAAAGCTAATTTTCAATTTAAGTTTATTGTTTCAGATACCTTAATATATGCAAATGGCGATCGTAACATTCTTTACATGTAAACATTACCTATATGTTGGAATATAGAATTGCATAATTTGTAACGAAATTTCTGCAGAATTTAATGCTACAAAAGGCTATGGGGAACAGTTTTATGAAACCAAGTATAGTACAAAGCCTTTCAGATTCGACGAGTCGAGACATGCCGCGTTCTGGACGACTTCATTACCAAGAACATAAACAAAAATAAATCATGAAAGAATACAAACTACTGCTATGCTATTTTGTGAAATTTGATGATGCAGGTTTTTATATAATTTGCAAATTAAAGTCAAATTAATAAAATGTATTTGAGCATTACTTTGTCAACCAAATTAATGAACTAATATAAAAAATACAATTGCAAGAATGATGAACTTAAAATTGTCTTGAGAAATAAGAAAACATATACAGACAGACATATTAAACCTAATTTTAATTAAATTTAACTGTAGTTATATACGTAAATATATATAAATGGAAATAGTAATATATATATACATACACACATATATACATATATATATATATGTAGGTATATAGAATTGCATTATGTGAATCGACATTAATGCATTAATTAAGTGGAACTTATACATATACAGACAGACATATTAAACCAAACACACCCACATATCTTTTCATATTAGATTAGTTTAGTGATTATAAATTAAATAATAGTTAATTAACAACAACAACAAATACAATAAATCATAGAAAAGAATACAATAAATTCTACTGCTAAACTGTACAACAATAATTGTTCGTTGAAATTATGCAAGAAATTGCATAAAAGTTTTTAAAAGTAAATTTACAAAATTAGAAGTCAAATTAACAAAATTATTTGAGCAATTAATTAAGTGATCAAATGTCAAAAATTAATTAACAAAATAATAATAAATAAATACCATATTAGCAAAATGTATTGAGAACTTAAAATTGTCGTTGAGAAATAAGAAAACTTTACATACAAAAGCAAAAAAATAAGTGTCAATTGAACTTTACAGAAAAGCTTTCTATTCGTTTTACCGGAGACCGTAATATTACGATCTTTGCTGCAAATTTCAATGGCTTAACAGCAATGTTAACAACAGCCAAGTTAAGTACTGTTAAGTTAAGTTTTTGTGTGAAGCTTACTGTTATCGAATAATGTTACGTTACAATTCGTCTAAGTTTTGTTATTTATACCAGAAATACTCGAGCAATCGAAAGTTCATTATTATAATTATTATTAAATTTAATATTTATTTGTTATAAGCAATATTTATAAATTATTTATTAAATTGTTAAGTTTTATTTTTTGTTTAACAGTTCTTATGCTTACAATTTTGTTAGATTTTAATATTAAAATTGAATTTTGTATCATGCATTAGTTTAAAGTGTAAAACTGTGTAACAAATACAATAATTATAATAAAATTTAGTACATAATTTAATAAATGAAATGTTTTATTATTATTTTAAAAGTATAACATTTAAACTTTCAACTTGAATTAATTTATATATGATTTTTAAATTATTTAAATATACAATACAAAATCGTCCAAAAAAGGCTTTCTTTTCAGTAGACAAAGAGTATCGAAAATCATCGTGTGAGGTGAATATAGCTTAACACATACTTAAAACCAAGTCTTATATAATATACTCGGATCTACTCCATTTAATAGAGAACTAATCCAGATTTCTTAGTCATAAGTTAAGTCGCAACAGTTAGTTACTATCAAATAAACTTTGACTTTGAGTAAAAATTAAGCCATGTTTGGTGAGGATTATTTGTTAAACATTCAAATCGGCCACTATAATTTATTTTATAATGATCATTTAAGTATCGATTTAACATTAAATTGACATTTCTTTAAATTTAAAATGACACTTTAGTTATAAATATCCTTTATTATTATAAGTTTGCGCTGTTACTCTGAATTTAATAGTTATAGATAAGGATAAGAACTCATGAGTATTACTGAGCTCTATACATCATTTTGTTACTTTGTGCAATTGAAAATTATGGAGAATCAATCTAGAAAAGTTACATTACAGTCAGCTACAGCGCCCTACAGACAAACAATGTACAATACATGTAAAGTAAATTACACGATCTAGTAACTGTAGTAGTTGATAACACTCTATATATAAATATCGATGAAACTAAAGTCCCAGCAGTCCCAAAATTTCCACTACCAATAATTTAGGACGTCAATACTATGTGGTAACAGGAAAGCATTATCTCTGTTGGCGGTACTGTCGCGGAAATTTTTTGCACATATAATGAAAATATACTTTAACCACTAAGACCCATGTTATGTAGAGTGTCACGGGCACATCAAAATGAAAATTGTTGTTGCTTTCAATACAAATTAAAAAACTACGAATGAGAGAAATAACAAATGACGGTTTAAATTCGGTCATGAAACCCAAGCCGTGTTGTATGTATGTGTGTACATATTTCCTTTAAATTTTAGACACAATCAAAAAGTACGAAATTACTAGTAAAAATACGAAATTGACAAACTGATGTGACACTCAGTTACCAATTAAGAGTCAATTATGACGAGCCCATGACTTCCTGCGTCATGCGTCCTATTTCTAAATTAGGAAAGAGGAACAAAAAGTGAATGTCAATGTCAAAATGAATACGTTTAAATGCTTGTGAATATATGGGGATGGGGGATCAGCTAGTATCATGTTTCGGTTCGAATCCGTAACAGTATGTGTCCAATGGAGACATTAATAAAATATAATTATATACAGTTTTCTCTCCTTATGAAGAGGCAGCTATGCAGGATACAAAAAATCTTGCCACGCCATCTTAATCATACATTTCAAAAAGGAAAGTAATTAAATGTAACAGCATCACATATGAAGTCTATTAAATTAGATGTGGACAGTTTTAAATCACACTAAGAATAACTGAATACGGGGCTTTATAATATGATGGATCTGATGTCTTTGTATCTGCCTGTGTTTATCAAATTTTGCTGTATTTTTAGGATGCTGAGAGTTTGATTATTGTGACTGTCAATTATATTGAACAGTTTCAGAGCACGATCTTTAATGTATTTTTCGATTGAATCGACTCTCAGATCTCTGTGGATATCCGCGCCTCTTACGTACCATGGGGCGTTAATCAGTTTTCTTAAGACAATATTTTGCCCTCTTTGAAGAATTTTTAAGGTTGAGTTTGGCGCTTGGCAAAACGCAATACTGCGATAAAGTAGTCCAGGTTTAATAATCTACTTAAATATGCTAACTCTATTCTTTATGTTTAGCTTTTTGCTGCTGATGAGCGGGCGAAGGGAGTGTAATATTCGGGCAGCTTGAGCTCGTTTGGACTTAAAATGTGCTTTCCAGAAATTTTGAATTTTTTTTTTATTAAGAAACGTGCCTCTTTAACACTCTAAAGTGCGACTATTAATAGAACGCATATTATATCACTGAATAATAAATTTATTTTGAGTTCTATTATAAATGTGTTTATTAGTATAACAAAATACTTCTATATATTAAAATGATAATAATTTTATTTTAAATTCACCTAAACTATTTTAATAGTTCCGTCTTAATTACGCTAATTCATGTAGTCAAAATAGTTAATTAAGCAATAAAATGAAGTTCAAGTGACGTCAGTTTAAATACAATTAAATTTACTTAAATCTTTTGTGCGATTTTACTCAATGAAATTTTGTATTCATTTTAATTAATTAATTATTTCGAAAAACATTTCCATATATGCTGAAATACGAGTCCATCTTAATTATATATATATTTATCTACATCTAAATAAATATGGATTCCAAGCAATTGCTATAATACAATTACAGTTTGTCATTTACATATTGTATGATGAGAAATTATATATATTTATATATAATTAGATTTACCAAATTTACAAGTCTACAACTTTACATCCAATCAATAGAAAAATTGGTCCTGTTTTTTGATATGGTAATCATAAATTTGTTGAAGAAAATAAAACTCTCTGAGTCTCATTATATACATATATGTACATGAATATTCACAATGCATATATAATATTATGAATTTATTAATATTTACCAAGCAAAGATAAATTTGATCTCTCTATATTAGAAAATAATTTCTTGAACTACTGTTACATATAAGAAATACCGTACAGCACATTAAATGATGGACTGTGTACTTACACGGTTGGCAATGAAAGATAAAGTGACATATGTTAACATACTTACACACACACACGCTTGTGTAGTCTATTTGGGAGGTGTTTTTCCATCTGAACCCGTGTTGATCTTCAATTTAAGTCCCACTCACCAGAAACCACCCCTTCTCCCTACCTTTAACCACTATTCAATTACATCCCTATCCATGTAATCGTCTTGTAAATTCTTTCATGTTGTCTGCCTACAGGTCTGCTTACAGTGAAAAATGTTCATAAATATGAAAGGAACTTAGCCACGAAAAACGGTACAAAAAGAAAGACGATTTATCCATATAAAGAAAGAAGAACAATCAAAGAGAACCACGTTCCGCTAAAACAATGAATAAGAAGACTAAGAGAGGATATACTGACAGTTTTTTCAAAACACACACTCTCAACCTAATCTAAGCTTCTTTGGTTTCAGATAGTCATCCTAAATCAAAAAAATTGGAACACTTTTAAAGTGAATGATCTGCTTCGAATCATTACTTTGAATCATTAACACGAATCATTAATCATATTATATTTAATAAATAAATCTGGAGCAGGCCAACAACGAGCATACAAAGATGTGATGCAATATATATTACTATATATACTATATATATAAAAGATATTACTTTATATGAACTACGTAGATAAGACGTATATGAAGCTTGCACAACATTTGGGTATTTTAGTCTATTTTATAATTGCAACGTATAAATATATAAATATTTTAAACTAATACATCCATCCCCAACATACCCTTCTTTCCAGTTTCAGTTATTAGTACTATATCAAAGCTTATGTGGCCGCCACTTGATAGCAAAAAATCAAGGAACTTACTCAGCTTAACTGGAGAAGACATATTTTTGGTCGTAGCTTGTTTAACTGGTCACTAAGTGTTCGGGAGATATGCTATTAAGTTGGGTGTCCCCCATAATAAATATTTCAGAAGTTGAGGAGAAAGAGGAGGAAACAATGAAGTACTCTTGTGTAGCTGTCCAACTCTAACTTGAAGTAGTGTGAAAATCTTAGGCAAACATATATATTAGCTCTCCCATAGAGGTATTCAATACTTTGATTTATAACATCCGCAATTTATGGAAGCCACAAAATGGTTTCATAAGTAATACAGTTAAAGTCCTGTGTTATGTACTGGTGTCACAATGTACGCCAGTAGGGTATATGTGAGTTGAACAATTAGACCGATGGACACATTAATCTAACCTAAGTTACTATACTGTGTTTAATTTTTAACTTAATAAAACATGTTCAAATGTCTAAACAAACAAAATTCTTTTTCCATATCTTCAATCTAATTCTTTTAGAAATCCATCAACCACGTAATTAACATGCCATCTAAAAATTTACGGTATAATAATACTAAATAACTATTATTCACTTTTCTCTAAATTTCTTTCTCTCATTCTAAAATCTATCAACCACGTCACCTAACATACTATCTAAAAATGTAGGGTGACAATTATAAATTCATTGATCAAATACTTTACTGTAAACATTATAAAAAAGCAAAACTGATCAAATATGTTTACGGCGTACAGAATATACTTGCATTACACACCCTGTATGTTAAGGTACTAATCAAAATGAACTTTAGAATATTTGCATTAAATGTAAATGGATTAAAATGATTCGCCCATAAGTAGTATCGCGGTCCGCCATATACATAACTTACGAGTATATCTTAGGTATTACGATTATATATGTAGGAATCACTTAATCAGTTTCAGGTACTAGAAAGGGAAATAGTGTCGCAACGTGTTTAGTATTTAGTTTTCATTTAAAGTGACAACAGCTACGATTCTCCACTAAACCTAAACGCATTGATTCAACTAAAAGCTTTGAAATATTTTTGTGCTGAAGGTGGCCTTTGAACTGTTTTTAAATTAAGTGCAGAGTAAAAAAATTAAATTCAAAAATTTGTACGAATTAAACTGAAATCATACATTTGTGACGCTAATCCGAGTTCTAGTTCAACTGTCACACTAAGTGCTGCTCGCAATTAAAAAGTTATTAACAACATAATAAAAATTTTAAAAATATTTAAACAAAAATACTTTCTAAAATGCACATCCTATTCTCCGTTCTGCTCACTTTTGTTAATGTAATTTCTATAATTGTAAATTTCGCATATAATTTGGTTGTACCGCAAAAGAAACCCGACTACCCACCCATCAGATCCAAGATATTGACAAAATCTGTAACCGAATTGGTTACGGAGTTACGGAACAGAAAGGTGATTAGCTCATGGAGTTGGCATGTTAAACACTAAAATTCTAAAATTCCACATTTTACAGTTGACATCTGTGGAAATCGTCCAAACTTATATAACTCGTATTAAAGAGGTTAATCCTTCCCTGAATGCAGTCATAGAAGATCGCTTTGAACAAGCTATAAGGGATGCAGAACGTGCAGATACAATGATCTCGAGTACTAGTGATGAGAATCTACTTAAGCTTTTTATGAAATACCCATTATTGGGCATTCCATTCACTGTAAAAGAATCATGTGGTTTAAAAGGTTCGTATTGATCATATAAACAAAAATATATATTCTCGTACGTATATACACTGATTCCCGTAATTCTATTCAATTCATTACAATATCTTCGCTCCATTTTTTTTATACCATCCTTTTTACTCCCATAAAATGTATATTACTTTATTTTGTTTTTATTTTTTAATTATTATTTATTAAAACTAGCTTCGCTATTTCTGTTACGGATTATCGTCTTCGAACATAGCCACAATATTCTAACTTAAATTTGTTGCATTTTTTAAAATTGACCCTAAAGACTTCCTTGCTCAAACCAATACCAGTTATGCTTAAATATTTATTGATCCAGTTTCCCAGGAACGTAGTCAAAGGGGCGCTTGATGAGCTAATGACGTCCCCACTCACAAAATGAATCTATAGCATAATAAAGCGCTAGATTATAAAAATGTAAATAATCAATCCGCAATTCATTTACAAAATGACTGACTGGTAAACAAAAATGTAGTCGATTCCCCATTTTATCTGAATGACTCCCCTCTTATATAAATTTTTGACTACAAGGTTGAGTACAAGGTTTTGGCTACAGGTTTTGGTTTAACATGACTAAATAGTAAACAGTACTATACTTAATACAGAATTTTATATAAAAGACCACCCTTCAAAAGCAAGTTTCTGGCTATTGGCCTATGATTTCCCGTAGTTCTGCTTTGTATCTACGCCTCCAAATTTAGGAACAATATATTTTTCAATTCTTTGTTTGAGACCTGAATTTGATTGTATTTATTAATATACATATTTGTATATACATTTAAATATTCTTCTTCTTCTTCTTGTGAATACTAACAAACATTTAATAATCAGATATAATTATTTATTCGAGAGAAAGTAATTATATTTAATATTGCTCTTCACCTCTCTAAAATCACCTTTTAAGAATGTATAATAAAGATTTTAATCATTAGACCATGAAGATTAGAGCACCGAGAACCTTATTCTATTAATCAAGAGCAAAAGTAGATCCGTTTTCTTTTTTTCTAATTTGCCAAAATGAACAAAACGATCATATAGGACTTAACTCCATTAAAATCATCTTTTAAGAATGAATAGTGAGAATTGCAAGCATTAAGGTCAGGCCGTTAAGATCAGAGTGCTTATAGTGCTTAAAACTTAATAGCAATTAGTGAGGATTCCAATCATTGGGCCCTGAAGTTCAGAGTGCTGAGAACCTCACACCAATAATTGGGGCCAAAATTGAAATTAATAGGCTTAAAACTTAGGTATCTATTTTTATCTAATAAGCTAAACCCAAGATATATATAAAGAGAAAACAGGGAGAAGAGCGATACAGACGTTATTAGATACGAGTATAGGCCGCGATTGTAAAGTGTGATAATGGAAGTAACGTATAACACCTTATCGAAATAGAATCGGAGGTATTGAGGAGGTTATTTTTCTTAGCTGAAATTAAATGGAGAGAAATGATGCCAGTGGTATGAAAGTCATCATTTTACTCGCATTTAACAGTAGGTATATGTAGGTCAGTAGGTCTTATATGAGAAAATTTCGAATTTATTCGTTTATTGTACAAATTCGTTACGATGAATTAACTATATATAATATACATCCATATATATGTTATATGCAAAGAGCGACTTAAACGACTTAAATGCAGGAGATGACTGATTTTAAGACCCTTTGTTTTCCATACCTTATCATATAAGAAAGAAGAACGAAACTGAAAGTGATCTTTTATCATGTTATCATGTTATGGAGTAAATATATGTAAGAATTTTGTTTAGATTATTATAATATAACCAGGTTCCAATTATAGTGTTTTATATGAGTGCAAGAAGGAAGTTCCTTCTTTAACACTCTTCTCATGCGATTATCATATTTTCTTAAATCATTTGCCACATTTATGCTGTTTAATTAATAAACACACATATGTTTTTATATATATTATATAAAATAATACAAATTTAGTTTTATAAACTACGACTTTTCATATTTTTTAAAAAATATTAGCATTAATTAATAATTAAATTCTTTTCAGGACATTCATATGTTGTTGGTAGTACATTTCGTTTAAGGGAGCGATGTACAGAAGAAGGTGAAACTGTAACTGCTTTACGAACGGCTGGCTGTATTCCTCTCTTAGTTTCAGCAAATCCAGAATTTTGTCTCAGTTTCGAAACAAACACACAAATTAATGGACGCTGCTGCAACCCGTATGACTTAAGTAGATCAAGCGCAGGCTCATCGGGTGGCGAGGTAATCATCTACTAATTACTTATTTATTTGATATTATCTTCCAACTAATTATATCTTATAAAAAATATAGGGTGCCCTTAATGGTAGCGGAGCAACACCTTTTGGTTTAGGATCTGATATAGCGGGTTCCATACGTTTGCCGTCTTTGTTCTGTGGAGTTTTTGGACATAAGCCAACAGGCGGCTTAGTGTCAATAGAAGGTCACTTCCCAATTAGTACTAAAAACCCAGAATTTGCATTCTATTTACAATTGGGACCAATTACACGTTTTGCTAGAGATCTGCCTATCTTATTGGGAATAATAGCTGGAAAAAATCGAGATAAACTAAAATTTGATAAACCAATGCCGTTAAGGGATATTAAAGTAATTAATTACATATGAATAGAAATATTAGTATAGAATTATGTATATGTTAACATTTTCTTTTATCAGATACACTACATGCATGGCTTTACTGGAATCAATAGACTGTTTTATCAACCAACTGCATTTGATATTAAATTGGCTATAACCAGAGCAGTGAAGTGTTTCGAAAGTATAGGAATGACGGCTGTAAAGGTTTGTAAAGAAAGAAGAAAATTTCATATATATGTTTTTAAATATGTGTACTATAAACCCTAGTTAATAATATTATATACACTAGATATATATGTCATATACACAAATATTATATATTTTATAACATTTTTCATAACATTTATCAGGTGGATATAAAGAACTTCGATTATTTGGCAGAAATCTGTTTAAAAGCGATTGCTGATCTAGATGGGATACCTAGTATCTTAACCCAATCTGTGTTTAAAAAGCCTAGTAAAAAGGCATTAGTCGGAGAAATATGTAAAAGCCTAATAGGGCACTCTCCTTTTACAAGGGAAGCTTTGGCTATGGAACTAATGCAGCAAGTAATCTATCAAACTTCTTGTGATCAGACAGCACAATGGAGAGAGAAATTAGAATTGCTACAAACGGAATTACTGGTTTGTTGAAAATTGAAGACATTTTAATAAACAAAATAATTTTACTTATAATTAATTAAGGAATTACTCGGCGACAATGGAGTTTTATTCATGCCAAGTTTTCATAAACCCGCTTTTCATCATAACATATCGCTTTTCAATTTCGTTGGAGTGGCTCAAATGACAATTTTTAACATTTTGGGTTTCCCAGCGACTCAGATACCTATGGGCTTAGATGAAAAAGGTCTGCCAATTGGTTTCCAAGTAATTGCAGCACCATATCAGGATAAGCTATGTTTACAAATCGCAGCGGAACTAGAGGGAGCATTTGGTGGTTGGATTCCTGCACAAAAGCACAAATTTTAATTAAATAGTATAATTTCTTTAGGGAAAAGTGTTTGAAATTTTAAATTATAGATCTCTGTAGGAGAGAAAAATTAGGTATATCAGTAAATGTATTGTATATGTTTAAGTCGATTATTTCATTCAATAATAAAATTCTTTGAAATTAGTTATTGTATTAAAATAAATAATAAATACGAATAGACACGAATATTATAAAAACAATCTCTTATGTCTCCGGAAAACTTTATAAAGTTCGAAGAGTGAAGAGTTCAAGGAGAGATTTCTACTACAACAGTAAATACTCAATTAATTTTTTAATGAATTTCTTTTTTTATGGTCTTTTAAGCACACTCATTAACTTAAAAGATCCAAGCAATTCATTGCTGAACTTGCTGAATTAAGATCTAACGTAACACTCCATTCGAGCCACTTTGAGAACGTATGTACCTTCTCCAGTCTTAGCCATCTAGTGGAATCCAGGCAACTTGATTGAGTGCAAGGTCGTCTTATTCCTTCTCCTAATGCTTAAAAACGGACAAAACAACGATTTCCTATTCAGATTCACTTTGCTTCCATTATTCCATACATCCTTGATTCTACAAATCGCTCCATATAATAAGATTTGTACTGATTTTTTTCCAAATCACCTCTAGATTAAGTGTCACTCCATATAGTGACTTTCTGTGCGTAAAATTATCTTACTGGTCAATTTTCACTACCCAAGGTATGACAAGTTTGTTTGTTGACAAATCAATAAAGCAAAAATTTAGTTTCTCCACTAAAGAAAATATAATATAAAAAATAGTAACTATTTTTGAAATGAATTTTATCAATTTTAACACGTTCAGCGGTTGTTAAGCCATCCATAAAATATGGCAAACCTTTAAATAAACATGTGTGCCGTAGATGACAGTACTTTTTGACATACATCACTGGCACAGTGCTAAGAGTCAGGACTACAAAATTGTTAATCTCTTATATATAAATGTAGCATTAAGGTGGAATCCTAAGAGCAGCCACCGATCAATGAAGAAATTATTCTTAGATTTAGATAAATTATGGTGGTCAAATGCGTCAGTAGGAGTTATAGAAGCAATACGTTAGGAAGTATATATATTGTCTAAGCAACTTTCGATATTAATTTCACTACGTTGCAATAAGAAAAAAGAAACAGATTAATTAGACCCCGCATTTGTAGTTCGAAAAAAGCTATTCGAATTATCTAGTATAAATTCAATTTTCTAACACATTCTACTTTTCGGAAAATGAGAATGATTTGTTTGTATATTAGAGAATAACAAGAAGGAAATAGTTTAACATTCTTTATTTCTGCTTCAAAAATTTAAAAAACACCACCACTGAACTTCACGACTTGACTATCCTATCCTAGACGATCCCAGTTTACAAAATCCAACATTTCTGTTTTATCTGTGAATTAAAACCACATTTTTACATGAAAAATTGTTTTAAAAATTATGGCAACGATATTGAGTCATCATAGGAGATTCTTTTCTCTTTTTTCTGAGGTATATATATAATAATATACTATGAATTAAATCTCGCAATAATATGGTAAATAAATAGGTAACGACTTCGTATTTAACGACTCGTATTTGATGTTCTGTCTGACACACTCAGAAACCACACATTTTCTTGTAATTGACAGTCAAAACAGTGTTAATATTTAGGATACATTAACTATAGTGAAAAGTATATAATAGGAATAACTAATATTTCAAATAACTTATTTTCTATTAATTAAATTACTTTTGATTTTAAACATATTTTGCTACAGTAAAAAGTTTGTAGAAACAACGATATTACGGTCATGCTTACGACTTACGATATTTGCAAGCTTTACCATTGTTCACGCTCTACGGAGTGGGTAGCATTGGTTTTTAAGATCACTTCAATGATTTTGTGCAAAAATGTTAATAAAATTTTATTTGGCAACACTAACGTCATTTCTTCAGCTTTCTTTCTTCCAAAATTCGCAACTGTCTTATGTTTGTTGTTTTTGTTGTTATGAACCGCTTTACTTGTGCTGCCTGTGTTTAATTTGAGTTTGAGTTTGAATAGTTGAGGTTCGGCAGCATGGAATTGTTTCTGCGAATAATGCAATTTATGATCAAAATTGCTTATACTATAGTGTACAAATTATTGAATTTTGTTTATAGTCCAGAAAAGAATGAACTCCCACCAATAGAAGATGATACAATATTATTATCATTAACCGAAGTGCTAAAGAGATTGCAGACACGTGAGGTATTTATTGTGCAAATATTTATACAAAAAATTTAGAGATTTTCTTATTTACTGTCGCATAATAATGCACGTAATGCACTAAAAATAAGTTATTTTGCAAATATTAATGTGTTAATTAATATAATATTTAGAATGTAGATGTATTAAGAATCCATAATTTATTAACCCGCCAAAAGCTAAAATATAACGTTTCATATGTTAAAATTTTTTTCTGAACATTTTTATCATTCTTATTGGAAGTAACATTCACAATTACGAATGTGTGAGTGCAAGAGGCGCAACGAATAAAAAGCTTTCATTGGAATAAATAACTCTTTGAGGATAATTAAGGCTTAATATTTTGTTGAAAGCTTTTCTTATTGGATTATTTAACTCCTCTTTTTTGGTAGTGTGAAAAAACAACTTTGAAAATCGTTGGATGAGTTGACAAATGTCAGAAGAATATAATATTTTCTCTTAAAATGTTTACTGTTATTTTTATTAAATAGCACAGATTGATACAATCAGTTTATAAATTGAGGGATAAGTTTGTACTTTAATAGATAAACAGGTGAATATTAGTACTGTTTATATATTGTACTTTACTGTGTGTCAAATATTTTAAAAAATCTTACCTGTTTTATATTACAGTGGAGATGCAATATAACTAAAAACCAATTTAACGAATGTCCATCTTAACTAACACTAAAATTCTATGATTTACTACATGTTAAATTGAATATAGGGTTTTAGAAAACTACACCTCTTTTATATAACCGTAGACGTTTAAGATAATGAATACTCAATTTAACGAAAGTACAATTTAACGATAGATAAAATTCGATGATTGACTATTCATTTGTTAAATATTCAACAAATGGGTTGCACTAGAAATTATTCGTTAAATTGTACAACTACTGTTTGTGGTATACATAACGTTTCATAAGGTGGCTGCCTGATCCTTACAACAATCATATTATGATAAGTATTTTTCACTTCTTTTGTTTCCTCTTTTCTCTCTCTCTCTCTCTCTCTTTTCATTCTCACACTATTTTTTATGCTCTTTTTCTTTCTTTTCTCTTTATCTTTATCTATTCTTTTCTCGGCATCCCTTCCTGTTTATTTTTGTTTTACTTTGGTATTTTTTTTTCTCTACCTTCCTGTTTTTCTCTCTCCTTTTTGTGTTCCTTTGATTCTGTGTCTATTTTTCTCTCTCTGTCTCTATATGTTTTTATTTTCCGGTCTTATTCCGTTTCTTATCTCTTACTGTTTCTGTCCCTCATTCTATTTCTCTCTGTCTCCTCTTCATTCTCTTTCTGTTGATCTTTCTTGCTTTCTTTCTCTCTCTGTTTCTGTCTTTATTTTCCTGTTTCTCTCTGACTCTGTGTGCATCTCTGCTCCACTCTTCTTTTGGTTTCCATTTTCCTTTCTGTATCTCTCTTTTTTTTCATCTTTCTCCCTCTGTCTTTATTTTTCTCTCTATGTTTGTCCCTCCTTTTCATTTCTCTCTCTTTTTCTCTTTTTGTTTCTGTTTCCTGCATTATCTTTCTTTTTGTATATCTCTCTCTGTTTCTCTCTTTCATTGTTTCTTTCTTATATTTTCTTTCTTTCGTTTTCTCCTTTTTTATTTTCTCTGCTATTTATTTGCCCTCTTATTTATTTTTTCTCTGGCCCTTTTATTTTTTCTCTCTCTCATTTTCATCATGAATAGTTAGCGCCATTAAGACAACTAAATTACAGATTAATTTTTTTTCAAGAATTTTTATTTAATCTATGCTTCTACAAAGAGCTTAAGGTTTCTACATAGGTTTCCAGTTATTTCTGCGGCGACGTACCACTGATTTGTACTCGTTAAATAATTTGTCATTTTCGTTTTGAATCCTTCTTTTTCAAGAAATCTGCGGTCACATTCGTCACCGAGTATCCTAGGCGTTTTTTGTCATATAATTTGCGTGGTATGTGGTCTATTTGTGCCCGTTTATAAGTATGGATAGATATTGTACATAATGGATAGATATCTGTTTGAATTGTAAAGGAAAATTATGCTATAAAGAAAAATGCGTGAACAATTATGGAAATGTTATCATATTCAGTATTAACATTTGACTAAAAAACGGGTGTAGTCAAGCAAGTCGCTGGCACTGAAAGTTGCATACAACTCTTACTATTAAACATCAAAGTGTTCTTTTGCAACTCTCTTATAAAATAAAACGGAATGTGTTTTTTTGTTTTTAATCTGTATATTAAGTTTTATACTTAATCTATAACTTTTTGTAGTTAATCAATAAGCAAACAATATTTATATCGTTTAACAAATTAAAATTTTTAACAGCTTTCATCTGTGGAGCTTCTTGAAAGTTACATGGAAAGGATAAGAGATGTTAATCCATACCTTAATGCTATAGTTGAAACCCGATTTGATGATGCTTTAGAAGAAGCAAATAGAGTTGATGCTATGCTTAAATTAAGTACACCAGAGCGGCTGAATGAGTTGTATAAAAATCAACCTTTATTAGGTGTACCCTTTACTGTGAAGGAAGCATGTGGGGTTAAAGGTAAAAAAATACTTTGAAATATTTTTAACACTTATTAAAATGTGCTGTTTTATTTCATTTTTTACTATATATCAGATTTATCGTTTGAAGTTGGTAGTCTGAAACGTCAAGGAATGAAATCGAAGAGCAATGGTGCTGTTATATCGATATTACGTTCAGCTGGCGCTATACCACTACTTGTATCTGCCAACCCCGAATATTGTTTCAGTATCGAAACAAATACGTACACTAATGGTAAATGCTGTAATGCTTACGATGCTACAAAATCAAGTGGTGGATCCTCTGGCGGAGAGGGCGCCTTAAATGGTGCCGGTGCTACTTTGTTTGGTATTGGTTCAGATATTGCTGGTTCTATACGTATACCTAGCTTATTTAATGGTGTTTTTGGACATAAACCTACTGGTGGTGCGGTATCAGTTAGTGGCCATTTTCCCCATGCTAATGATGCTGACTACATTCAGTACCTACAATTGGGTCCAATAACTCGTTTTGCCAGTGATTTAAGCTTGATCTTGCATGTGATGGCCGGTAATAAAGCCAGTAAATTACACCTCTTGAGCCCTGTTCAATTGAATCAAATGAAAGTAAATTATCTTTGATATATTTAAAATGAAATTAGAATATATTATATTCAAATGGTATTTACAGATCTACTATTCGCTGGGATTTACTGACTTGAATGGAATTCTACATCACGATGTTCATAATGACATCAGTGGAAGTATTCTAAACGCCGCAAATTATTTTAAACAAAAAGGTTTACCCGTAAAAGAGGCTAAAATTAAAGGTTTCCGTAATTCAACTGAAATAGCGCTAAGTTCGATTGCACACCTTCACAATTTTCCATTTCTAATTGAAAATCCTGGAGATTTCCCAGTTCTCAAAACACTTAGCGAATATTCACTAAGCGTATTTGGCCTTTCGGATTTTACAAAAGATGGTTTAATATTTGAGTTAATGCGACGTACAAATGGTTTTATGCCAACTAGAAATTCATATAAATATAGAAAGGAACGGGACTTGCTTAGAAGTGAAATAATTGTAAGTGTGGTACTTATAATAAGATAATATGATGATAAAATATATATATTTTTTTTCTCTCTTTAGAGACTCTTGGGTGACAATGGTGTACTCTTTTTTCCCACATTTACAGTACCAGCTATTCACCATAACAGTTCTCTTTTACCACTTTGGGCAATCGATTATACACTAATCTTTAATGTATGTGGCCTGCCGGCAACACATGTAACTATGGGGTTGAATAAGGATAAATTGCCAGTAGGATTTCAAGTAATCGCATCACCATTCAAAGACCGGCTCTGTATTAAAATTGCTGAGGAATTAGAAGCTAAATTTGGTGGTTGGGTTCCACCGGAGGATGCTTAATTATTTTAAAAGATATTAATTTATTTACTTATGCTGTGTTATAATTTTAAACAAAAAGAAATTTTATTTAATCGTAATTGTATTATATATTTTGTATTTTGTATATTTAATAAATTTTTTATGTTTATGTTAGTTTATGTTAGTAATATGTTAGTAATAATTTGAAAATTTTAAATCAAATAGTCTTGCTAACTAATATGGGAATATATTAAGATAAATTAAAAATCCCGTCCATTTTAATTAAAACTGCAACACGTCTATGTATTGCATTTCAATAATGTGTAATAAAAATAAAGTTTCAGTTATTTATAAATGTTACGTACAATATTTTCCTAACACACTCTACAGATAAATATCACATAAAACTATAAAATACTTCCATAATAGCAGATTTCATACCACTCCGGTTAATAACTAAAATAACCGACTAGTTTAAGTTAATTAAAGTGAATAAAAATACTCTACATAAATGTGATGGATATAATCTTATTGTTTAAAACTTTATACTTTTAAATTCCTATGCGTATTCATATATTCTCCACTTCTGAATTATATTTTTAATTTTCATTAATTTCATTTTGAATATATATAAGATTAATGTATTTCTCATGTAAAATATCAATATAAATTAACTTAACTTCAGTGTGAACAAAGTATAGTCAATTTCATTAAGAAACGCTACTGAGCAGCCATAAAAAATTGCATACTAAAAATATGTTTGAAAAAATGTATTTTCATCTTGCGTCATTATCCTTCTTTCTTGAAATCCAGTTTATTATATCCTTTCTATCCTTCGGTTTTAAATGAAAAAAGCTGTTCAGACCGACCAATTTCTTTCGTTCAACTAAGAAACGATAAATGTGGTTTGTGTACATAATGCTATATGAATTTAAAAGCGGTGTTGCAAAATTTGCTTTCATTCTATATTCTATCATTCTATCAAAAACGTTTGTGCAGTACCTATCAATTACTATCAAAATATTAATATATATTTCTTTTTGCATTGACAATCCGAACAGCTTTAATTTCAACATCTATTGACATAGCAACTCCAACAAAATTTTTTCTATTAAGACTAGAGAAACGTATTTGAACAAAACATATGCTCAGATCTAAACAGCAATACTTAAAATAGACGTAAAACAATTATAACTACATTATATATGTCATTATATTGTGTTTAGATTATTTCATTTAACTCGATAAATATGCACACGAAAGAGATAGATATAAATGCAATGGTATTAGATTACAAAACTGAATTCAAACGATTTTCACATTTCTGACACAGTCATATGTGCCATTAATTTTACCTTTCACAACACTATTCGCTTGTCAAAATGGAAACGTCACATTGCATCAAAACAGACAAACCAATTCAAGCAAATGTATAGGACAGAGAAAAGAGGCAGAAAACAACAGCCAGAAGAGAAACTAAAAATGCGGGAAGCAACTCAGCACAGTCGTTACAAGTCAATTGTCGAGTAAAGACGTGTGTAAAGCTTGAATAAAAGCACTGTTGATGTAACACATTTACTTACTACTAATAAGACTAAACTAAATCGCGGTAACAAATAGTGCCTCTTGTATAAATAAATAAAACGGTTTCATTACTAAAATAAAACTTTTTGTTAATTAAACGCTATTATTAAAAATTATTCAAATATCTAAATAACATATAAACGCTAAATTACATATTATTTTTGTATTAAAAAGCCACGATACTATATAACGGAAGTGTCCAACAAGTGTTTTTTAATCAAATGAAACAGATTAAAAGAAAAAATCTCTAAAATTTTAAAACGCAGCTATTATCTAATAAGCTTTATAATAAATTCATAAAGTAAAAAAAAAAAATTTTTTTTGAATATAAAAAAATTAATACCTTCGTAAAAAAAATTTTTATATATTTAAACTTCTCAAGTGATTCACCAGCAGAGCAACAAAAAGAGACGCACTACGCCATAAACATACACGGCGATAGGTGCGAACGCAATAGCAACAACAACAGCGTGAGTCATAAAAGTGAAATGAAAATGCGGATAAAAAGAGAATCTCCGTGCCTTCTTTTGAGATTTATGCCAATCAACAAAATCGGTATGTTTAAGAAATAAAAATATATAAAACATAATACAAATATATTTGTACATAAAAACAGACAACAGAAATATGCACATAAAGCAAGTAGTAAAAAGTTAAAAAATTGTTTGCATAAATTTACAAAACGAGCCACCACAGCAGCAGCATCATCATCATCATTATTATTAACGCTATTTTATTTGGATTTTGTTGTTTTTTTATATTTTTTTATGTTATTTTCTTGCTTTGCTATTTTTGGCTTATGGGCTATTTTTGCACCTTCAAATTTTGTTCATTACTCATGCAACTTTGTCTTATGATTTTCTTTGTAGCATAAATTAAATTTTTTTGTTCTGTTCTGTTAAAAAAAAAATTCTTTTTAATTTATATACACGTATAAATTTTTTCTTATAATTCCTATATGAATTTATACGAAAACCTTAAATATGTGGATCGGAAGTTGTGCCACTTGTTTGCGGTATTTTATATGCTGACTGACAGTGTTGCTTTTTGTTTGCCAATAGAAAATTAAAGCTTCCAAAATTAAGAATTATTTGAATGTTGACTGAAGGTTTAATAGTAGCTTATATATAAAGGGAATTAAAAATCAAATTCTTTCAAATATTATTTGTTTAGCAAAACTGGTATATATATTTTTATTGTTAAATGTTATTTATAATCAATCGTTGATTGCAATATTTTTTATTTTGAATAGAAAGGTTTTTTATGATTAAAGTATCCTTTTTTCTATTCAATAACAGTTAAAATTTTTAAAATTCTTTGCATTAAAGTATCTGTTTTCTCTTTTGGTAATAGCTTCAATTGTTTTCAATTGTCATTAGTTATCTGTATAATAAACCTAGAAACTGCAATAATGAATAAATAATACTTCTATTGATGTCAGTAGCTTAGAAAATCTATAAATCTTTAATATTTTCAAAATAACAATAAACTCTAGTCAGATTACTATTTAACTGGTTGGATCTACCATGATTACATTTATGAAAGTCAACTACAATTATTAATTTAAAAGCAATTTTAGGCTGATCATATAGCTAAATAATTAATTTTACCATTAAAAACAAGCTAATTGTATTAGGCTATTTAGTTAATTACTCTCAATTCTTGTTATAAATATTAATGAAAATATCATAAGTTATTTTTCTTTCAAATTTTTCAATTTTATTTTAAAGTAATCTTCAGGTAAGGAGCTTATATATCAAATTTAAGAAAATTAAGTATCCCTTTGAATATACATATTTAGCCGAATAGAGTTTTTAACAAAGCACAAAACTTAGTGTAACACTAGCTAATGCGTCACCCGTCTAAATTTCAATCAATATCTCAATCACAACTTGCAACATAAATCCCCTTATTATTCATTCAATGTCTATTCTCTAAGTAGTTTGTATAATTAAGCTCTTATATTGTTTCTAACCATTCATTTATATCTTGAATTATTTAAACGTAAGTATTAGATGATAAACAGTTAAATGTTAAAATTAAACTTTTAATTAAGAATTCATTCTGCTTACTTTAATCATCAACTTTCCAAATGAATTTAATTAACAACTTTATTACTCAATTTTAAGTTTAAATTAGTAAATATTTTATTATTCATATTAATTAGAATTCTTTTTCTGCAACATATCAAGAACTTCTATCTTTTTTTTACGTTATTTTATTGTCATTAAAAATTTAAGAAAACCTTAATATTATTTACTAACTTTTTAATACAAAGTGAATCATAACTTCGCATGGTAGCGAAAAATTAAGAAATAACAACAAAAAAAAAAACGAAAAAAAAAAAAACGTATAACGCAAAATTATACAAAAATAAATTAAAGCAAGTTGACAACACTGTTGAACCGATTTGAAACGACCTTTTGAGTACGAATTCGAGTTTAGGTTTTATATGTTGGGCATATATTTATGTATACATGAACGTGTATATTAGTTGTTTAAATGCATGTTTATATAGCTGTTGTTGTTATTGTTATTTTTGTTTTTGTTGCTATTGTTGATTTTGCTTTATCGTATTTATGCTTTAACCGCTGTAAAGCTTAAAGCATGTATTTCAAGCATACCATTTCAGTTGTTGTGGCTATTGCTGCTGCTGCTCTGCTGTTGTTGTTGTAAACAGATAGTGCATTGCTATGTTGGGTTTGTGGCTGACTGACTGTAGTAATGTAAAATTGTGTTTTCCTGTTTACTTGTTAGTTTGTCTGCCTGGTTTATAGTTATGTTGTCTCTTAGTGTTTACTTGTTAGTGTTTTTTCTTTTTCATTTTGTTTTTTTATTGTTTTTGATTTCTTGTTTTAGTACTTCAAACCACAATAATGCCAACAACAAAAATAACAGCATGCGTTTTTTTTTTTTGGTTTTTTTGTATTTTATTTATACTTCGTACAACGTCAGCAAAAATTTTCTTCTTTTTTGTTTTTTAATTTTTTTTTTTGTACAATTTTAAGTTGAATTTTAAGTTCAACTGAAGCTTTGCTGTTGCTGATAAGGTTGACAATTTTTTTTCATTTAATTTTTAAAAATTTAGCGTATCACAAAAAAAAACGTGGTTATATGTACTCATTCAAAAGAACATAATTTTTAATTAAATGATTGCATGAATTACATTTACTATTAGAGATAATTCAAATTTTATTCGGTTGAGGGTAAATTTATTTGTTGGTTTCACTTTATAAATATGTAAATTTGTGAATTAGAACATTTGATTATGCTCATCGAGCTGATAAGCGTTTATGTTATAACACATAAACATAACATAGAGTATGTCTGCTATTAACATAATGTTGTATGTGTACTTAGTTAAGCGTTCATTATGTTAAATTAAATAAGTCATAATATCAAGTCGAAATTTAGTTAATTTTAATGCATTTATTTTCTAAAAAATTATTTTCTTTTCTATTGTTTATGTTATTGTATGTTTATTTATCTTTCTCTATACTTGCAATAAACAACGCAATTGAATTGTAAAATTATTTAAGCGTTTATTCATACATTTTATTTATATATTAAGTGTAGTGCTCTTAATCTTATCTCCTCTCTTGCTGTTTCCTCCAAATCTTTCATTTCATTAATTGTCTTTGTATATTTTTTTATTTAAATTTTTTTTATTTTTTGTATTTTACGCCAGTCTCAATGTTGACGTCATTTAATATATTAATAACAAAAATGTATTTAAATAAAATTTTTTATATATTTATTTTTATATGAATTTTTTCATTGAAATTAATTTTATAAATTTTGTTATACATTATTTTTAGCTAATCACAAAGATTATAATAGTCATAAAAGATCAAAAGAAAATTTAACAGCAACAACGCCATGTGATGAACAAATGCCGATTTCCACCTCATCATCCACATCTTCAAATCGTTCACCACTAACGAGAAGTTGTTCCAGTCCTGCTGTGTATGGTGAGTTTAAATAAAATTCATATAAAATTCAAATGCACTAATTATTAATTAGACTATAAAGATTTAGACTTATTTACTTACTTTATATTATTGTAAATCTCCAGCTTAAATTGCTGTTGTAATGTTGAATAGCTATTGGTGATTAAACATGGCAATTGACTACCAGTTGCTCTTTAAATCCCAGCTTAAATTAATTGCCATTGTTATGTCCGAAGAGAACTGGTTTCGTCACTATTGTGATGAGCAATCAATTGTGGAATTGGTCTTCTGGAAAGACCATGCTTTGAACTTTTATAAAATTTGTTTTTCATTAAACCGTATCAAGCCCAAACTCTTGAACCAACAAATATTGTTAGGCTTATGAATATTGAATAATTACAATAATAATAGTAGATCTAGCTATTAAATTCTTACCTTAAAAATCCTAGATTAGGTTGAAGTGCCGACCTTATGTTCAAAACCCACTTGAGCTCAAGTAATGGCAATTTAAGATACCACAAACCTAAAAGTCTTCTGGTTTGCCAAAAAGTCTAAGTAGTACATTTAGATTTTTCTAGCCTAAGAACCTAAAATTCAAGCCTAAAATTTAAATTAAACACAGAAAACTGCCACGGAAAAATATTGCCTGGAAATTGTCCATAAACAATTGTAGTTTAGAATAAAATGTTAAAAGTTTATTGTGTAGTTAAAAAACCCAATTATTCTATTAAAATACTATAACATTTTCTCTACTTTCTGGTTCAATATTCTTACTCTACTTTTTTTTATTATGTCACTAATAATCTGTTACAGTATCATCAATCCTTTTAATATGTAGTGAAGTCACTAAAAATCTTCCAAGGTCTCCATAAGGTAACTAGCTAACTATTAAATGAAGTGTAAAGTAATGCATCAGAAAATTTTCCGTAACCTTCATTAAATAAATTTCACCACACCACCATCGCCGTTCCGTTACAGACAAGATGCATGACACTGATAAAACGGTAGAGCTACTTTTTTTTTTTTAATTTAATATCTTAATGCATATTACATACTGAAATGCAAAATTTTTAATATGATTAAATGCAAATTATTTTAAAATTTAAATTTAAACACGTGCGGTAAAATTATGATAAAAACCTAAGCTTCTCTTGCAAATAGAAAATTAAAAAGCAGTTTAAATGCACTTCAATGTCAAACTCACATCTATATACGGTTACAAACATACATATGAATAGATATAGTTTACGTTATCTTTATATAGATATAAACAGATTCTTTACGAAACAAAAAAAGACTTAATTTTTTATAAATTAAGTAATTTTACCTTCAAATGCAGTCGAAAACTTCCGTAAATATTTTGTTGTTGTCGTTGTTGTTGTTGTTGATGTTGTCAGATTGATTAAGTATCAATTTGCATTAAAGCTCGAGAAGAAAAATGCGACATTTCCATATAGTTTTGTGCAGAAAGCTGTCAGAGAGGGTATAGTACATGCACCACCTCACTACTCACTCCGCTTTGCCTTGGCTTGCCTATGACAGTTTAGTGTAAAATGCAATTTAATGCACTTAAAAAACTGTATTTACTTCGCTACTTTTTATGGCACGTATTTTGTTGGCAATTAAGTGCTGCAGCGGAGCAAATTAGCATATATGACGTTGTCTCTCGTAAGGCAATAATTGAAGCTGAAATATAGCAAAAATATTCAAAATATATAATGCGTCTATATAATTGCAAGCTAATTGTTATTGTAAAATTTTACTTATGTTTTTTCCACTTTTTTTGCAACTTTTTATTGTTTACAATTTTTTTACAATTCCGACTTGTAAATTATTTTATTTGTTTATTATTTTTTTATTACTTAATAAATTGTAAACAAATCCAATATTTGTTCTTCAGCTGTTAGTCGATTCCATCGGTTTTTTCTGAGTCATACATAATACTATTTATAAATTATGGAAGTACCATATTAATTGCCTGCCCTGGCAAAGGTTGAAGTTTTGCTAATACAATATATTTTATTGATTATTATAGAATTTTTTTAAATGAATTTCTGGGAATCCCTCGTCAAATTTAAAAATATGACATAGAAGAAATTCCATGGAATTATTTTCTACTTCATATTTAAGGTAGGTGCTTTTTTTGGAAAATGATAACGAATCATTGAATTATTTAAGATTTAAGGGAAAATACGAAATGTATGGAAAATAGATTGTTAGTGAAAATTGGAAATTTTCTCTTGATTGATGAATAATGAGTACTCCGAATTGCAACACAAAACAGCTTCTAGCTGACTAGATCAAAAACACACTCACTCAAAATATGAACAAACTCAAGTTTTTTGCAATATTCTCACAATAATAATTTTTCTTGTAAGTAATTTGTTTATAATAGTTGGCTAGTTGGTAGTCAAAGAAGCCAAAAGCTTAAAACAACAAAGTAAGGGCAGTGTATGAATTCTTATAGTAATCAATGCTCTTTGCAACATAATAATTTATTTATAATTATAATAATCTCACAATAATAATTTTTGTTGTAAGTAATATTTGTATAATAGTTGGCTAGTCAAAGGAAATGAACCCAGCAAACAGATCCAATTTATCGATTGAGTTAAAACAACAAGAGAAAGCCAACGTATTAATACTATCTTTAGTAAACTGAGATTAACAATTTAATCAAAATTGGAATAGTGTAATAGTGTTCATAGTGTCTTGTAATTCAATCAGAAAATTTACTTTTTGACTCTTTGTTTAAGGAAGGTGTGCAACATTTCATCGTCTTAAAAGATGATTGACTGTCAGTCCCCGGAACCATGATCATTGTTTAAGAATCTTTGAATGTCTAACAAATTTTTAAACCAATACCGCTACCAGCTTAATCTTGTTGACACCAATTGAGTATCTTATTATCATTCTATAAATTTCGATATAAAGCGACTAAAAGAAGTTCCCAGATTTCCGATAATAGTGATGACAATAGTACCATTATTAATTGAATGTCAAATAAAATAAAAAAGAATGGAATTATTTAATGATGACTATGTTTAAATAAACCATTTAAAAGCATGCATATGTATATCCTGTTAAGTATTTATATATGCCTAATTCTTTAATTAATTTAAATTATCTAAAAACAATATGTAATATTATTTTGGGAACCTAGTTTAATTATAGCTATAAAATGTCATAAATGTTATGCTTTTGTAAGAGAGTTTCAAAAGAATACTCGCTTTTTTATATATGAGTTCTCTTTAGCTGTCGAATAACTTACATAATAACAATAACTTCAAATTGTTTAATGTTTTCACGAATTCTCATTGTAATTTAAAGGATTAAAGTAAATAAATTTTTTTTTCTCTTTGCTAAATGACTTATAAATTCTATTATTTGATATTAAAATTTGTATTTTAGTTGACCATCGTTCTAAAATTTAATTATTCTAGAATTCAATGTAAAAAAATTGTTACAACAATACCTTAAATATTGGGTTTCCCCAACATTGATTTTGTGTCCTAGAAACTCCATAGAAGAAGAAGGGAAGTACTTCATTCCATATGCACTGCTGCATAGCTGGTGTAACTATTTTTATTGAAATTACTATGCAATACGAAATTATTTTATTGCCATAACAAAAAGTCTGATTACAAGTTTCCATAGTTATACAACAACAAAAGAAAAATAGTAAAAGAAAAAACAATAAACTCATTAACCGCTTTATAACCTAATTCCACTGTAAAAATAATCAATATAAAAACAGAAATAATTTAAGTAACTAAAGTGACTGACGACTGACTAATGCGCGGCAGTGTGCTGTGCAGTATCAGTGCTTAGCGCCTCCAAATGACGTAGTACAGAATACCAAAATGTGCTGTTATAATTAGTACAACTTTACTGTTATATGTCGTTGGTTTGGTATAACAGTAAAATAATGATTGCTTATTTATGCAAGTATAACAGTAAGAAATGAAAGGTACACTGTCACTGTACACTACTAACAGAAAAAGACTGCATGGGAACAACATAAAAAACAAAAAAATAATAAATTTAATTATGAAACAAATTAAAATATCACAAATGAAAGCATTAGAGTAATAAAAAAATGTTTGCAATTTTTTTAAAAGTCCAACAAATTAATATACAAAAAGAAATATATATATATGTATACAAAAATATTATAAACGTAGTACTGTTAGTTATTTGCTTTTCTTGCATGACTCATTGGGGCAACACATCACTAAGAGTGCCTCCTCGTAAATATATAGATACTTATAATACCCACTGTTTCGTAAAAAAAACTGTTTCTTTTATTTTCTTCGATACTTTTTCTGCTAGTTTCTTTGAACTGTGGGCAGAAGACGTAGTCGTCAGACATTCAGTCAGTTCAAGTTACTTTTTTGAAGTTCAGCTATGCTTAATTTCACTCCATTCTATTAATTTCTGAGATTTATTTGTAAACGTAAATATGCCTTTCTATGAATGACGACGACTACGACGACGACTTATGTTTTCTTTTTTATTATATTTTTCAATTTCGTTATGTTTAGCGGTGCAGGGGGGTTAAAAACGTAAACGAAAATAGTCAACAACATCTCTAATATTAAATATCGTATCATATCGTATCGTACTGTATTGTATCTATTGCAGTAAAAGTTAGCAACAACAATATAAACAACAACAGTGCTGCAACAGCAGCGTGATACGATCAGATCACTTAAAAGATTAGTTTAAGCAGCGTGCATCGCACATGAAAACTCTCGAAGCGTAACAGCGAGATTTTCTACATACATAATTATTTATACAATATTATGTATATTTTACAAAAAAAGAGCAAGCGATTATATTTTTTTACATTTAAACACAGCAAGAAGCTGGCATACGTTTTACGGTATCTCTACATTTAACTTTAGCTAAAGTGTTATAAAATATTAAAATAGTTTTCAATTTAAAAAGCTTTTAAAATATGAAGTATATATTTTTAAATGAATGAAGTATATAAGCAGATGAATATATTAGGTAAATCTTGATATATATTTTATTTTATAAAACTTAAAATTAATTAATTTTTTAAAAATTACAGCGATACATTTTATAATAAAACGTAAAAGTGTTGCTATGTCGCAATAAATAATATTCTTATCTAATAATTTTTTATAAATACGTTTAATATTATTTTGCTAATTGTAATATTTTTATTTGTAATATTATTTATTATAATTTTATATATAATAATCTTTTATTCCAGACATTGAAACGCATCCCGCCTCACCAGTTTTTCCACATTTGCTGCTTGGTAACGGCAGAGATGCTGATGATCCAAGTAGAGTTGGTGCAAATTGTGTGTTAAATGTTACCTGCCAAAAGCCCACAACAAATAATATGCCGGGCTTAAAATACATGCAAATACCTGCCAGTGATACACCACATCAAAATATTAAACAATATTTTCAGGAAGCGTATGATTTTATAGGTAAGTTAAGAATAAAAAATATTATTTAAATTGCAATAAATAAATGAAAAAACTTTCTCATGAATAAGTTTTTAAAATTAAAGTAGTTTAAACAATTTATCAGTACTGTACTTGTAGAACAGTAGTAAGTACTGTACTTTCTTCTTTTCTCTTATTGGTTTACCCTTTTACCTTTTGACATCAAACTTTTTCTAATTTCTTAATTTAAAATTTTATTTAATTGAAATGTAAGAAGAATTAAAAGCGTTTTTATTAAAATTTATTTATTTGTATAATTAAAAACAACTACATTTATATTTTTATATATCAAATTAAAGTTTAAATAAAACTGTACTTTTTTTAAGCAAAAAATTATTGCAGATCAAAAAATTATTGAAGACCAAAAAATTGTCGACAATGTTTAAAAAAATTAACTAAAATAAAAGTTAATGCTTTACAACATGTTGCAGTTAAAATAAAATTTAATATATTATAGCTACTTTTCTTTTTATTCTACCCTATTTTGCTTAGTATTCAAAAATATTTTAATATATATATAATATATTTTTAAACAAAATCAAAATAAATGCCTTTTTTCCGTTGCTGACGTCAATCGTTTTCAATCAAGTAGTTTATAGACGACACGTGTTAAAACAGCAACAACAAAAACAACACAATAAAAGAAAATTATTAAAACAAAAACAAAAAACAAAATTGAAACTCTTGTACACTGTGTACACTAATAAAATATTTTTATAATAAAAAATACTATTATACTTCAACTACATTTTAAAATGAAAATTTTTCTTTAAAAAAAGTAAAATAATTCCACAATTCTTGTTGTTGTTGTCAACATTTTGTTTGCAAAAGAGCATAAGTAACTAGTACAATAACAAAAACAAACAGAAGCATGAAAAAAATGTACAAAAACAAAGGCTCCTTTTTGTAAGTTCTCCACAGACAGCTTGGCTCCTGCGGCAGCGCATCGCCGCCATTACACACAAATTTTGTACTATGCAATTTTACAACAAATAACAACGGATAAGGCAATGCTGACGGCGACGTCAAAGATCAGTGTTGACAACTTTTATGGATATTCCACAAACATACAAAAAAAGCACAATTTTTACATACAAAACGTATACAATTTTTATTTCCTATACAATTTAGTGTTATGTGTACTAGTTTTTCCTTTTTCATATTATTTTTTTTCCTTGTACATATAAATCTTCTTCTTATTATTGTGTGCATTGTTTAATATTTGGACATAACAAATCTCGCCTAAACAAAACAAAACAACAAAAGCTATAACGTCCTTCGGAACTTCCTATTTTTGTGTTAATACGCATATTTATTTTGTACAAAAACTCGCCTTCCTCTGCATTATACTGCTAGGCACTAGGCAGGCTATAATAAAACCGCAAATGATTTTTTTCCTTATGATTTATTTTTTTATTTTTTGCTTCTAATTATTGTGTTTCGTCTGTTACTTCCTTACGTCACGTACACTTTTGTCCTCGTTCTTAACGAAGCGTGATGAAAACACATTTACTTTGCACGCAGTGCTTTTTGTATCCAAAAATAACGGCTAAATAACACAAACAGTAGTGCTGATGACGACGACGACGTCAACAGCAATAGCAGCCGCAGCGTCGATGACAACAAACAACAGAAGAAAAAGCATATTAAAATAATGTTGTGTGCGCTATGCTGTTTGCTGTTGATGAGTCATCGCTATCGCAATGTAGCACATGCAGACCGTACAACTTTGCTTGTGTCTCCTTTTGATATTTCCCATCGATTTTGTTATTATTATATATGTATGCACAGTATGTATTTATATATTTTTGTTTTGTTTGTTTTATTTTCATTTTGAAATATTTAAAGGCTTACCCTCATACCTCAGGCGACCGGCGCTTACCCTAGAGTTGTCTGCATTTCAATTCTAAAAACTATTTTTGGTCATTAGTCGTGTAGTGCAAACTTCAGATGAGAAAAAATTGCTAAAATATTTAAAGAATTTCCTATAAAATTGCGGGGGTGTCAGTGAGGTACAACGACCGCTAAAAAAAATCAAACAAAAAGATAAAAAAATGAAAACTAAACTGCCTTGATGTTGTTGCCAATTATTTGACACTTGTGTTCCTTTAAGTCTTGTTTTTGTTGCTATTTGCTGTTATAATTTTTTTAAATTTATTTTGCATATGTTGTACGGGTCGTGTGTTTTTGCATATTTTTTTTTTACTTTGTTTTGCTCAATTATGCACTTTTATCCTGCTGCTGTATTTAGTTGTGTTTGTTTGTGTGTAAGATTGACTCTGTTAAAAGCGTGGGTAATTCAAACATAGGATAACTAATTGTGTCAGGTGCGTGGGATTACTTGCTTATTTATTGGGTATTAACAGTCATTGCGGGCAGCACTGTTAAACTCCTAACATATGGGATTTAATTTAATAATAGGATTTCAACGTCGTTGAGTATATTTTCCACAACAATAAAAATCAATTTCGGAAAAGTTTTATTTTACAAATTTATTATTAAGGGTTACTCAAATTAATTAAACAGTTTTATTTCTTCTTTTTTTTTGTTTTGTTTATTTTATTTCATTGTAGTGAGTTTAATTTATTTAACATATGGCATACTAAATTTTACTGCACAGATTTTTATTACTACAGCTTTTTAATATCCCTAGGCGTCAAAGTAGCATACTTCTCTCAATATTTTGCTCAATTTTTTCAAATTTGCGTTTTAAAAGGGTTCAGACCAGCATGTGAACACTTTGTTATGCTTTTTGAAAATATGCCAAAACCCTTATAATATTTTAAACTTGCCACTAAACCTGCTTATCAACCTTCTATATGCCATATCTCAACTTTAACCCTTGAATACTTGCTGCGCAACAATAAAGGATTCTGTGTATGATGACTCATACCTTACTTGAATATAGGAAGTTCTTATCGATATCAAAAAGCGTTAAATTTAGTTATGCGTCATTGCTCATTAACATACACTTAAAAAAATTATGGTTATTCGTGATTTTGGTACCCTTCTTTTTTACTTCAAGTACATTTTGCATCATAAAAACAGTAATATATGAAGAACTTTATTGGTTTGATGTGATATTGATGTTAATTCTTCAACCCACCCTTAAGTTTTATAACAATATTACTATGGAGAAATAAGCACCCTGTTTCTAAGAGACCTTTTAAGAAAAATATCAAGTCATCATTATGTTATAATCATTTTCGCACACGGCACGAAACCAAACTAAATCATTTCCTCCCTCCTCCTACCCCTTCACCACCTCATACATACCCATCATTTGGTTGTAGTGCTATTTTTTTCCTTTTTGTGCCTATCGTTGCTTTTAGCTATAACCCCACACTCTACCTACCTACCTTATAAGTATAACCTTCCCAGTGTGATATCTACAAAAAAAAAAAGTATTATACTTGTACTCACACTCCCCAATATTTCTCTAGACGACTATAATATAAAAGCAAGCTATTGTAATATAAAAGTCTACATTTTTATAAACATAAAAATACTACAAATTTATATACAAATATTTATAGTAAAAAAAAATGTTCTACGTTCTTCGAGCAACAGCTAAAGCAATAAGAACAACAAACAATACAACAACAACAATAAAATAATATGAAGAGAAAAAAATCAACAAAAACGGATGAGTCATTTCATTTCATTTCAGTTCAGTTTAGTTTAGTTCATTTTATTTTCAACCAATATAAATTTTGTATAAACATTTATAAATGTTTTATTATATTTTCTTCTCTCATTCTCTACAAACTTACTTAATGGTTAACGCTACCCTGCCTGCCCGCACTCCTCCTCTCGCCAACACTTATTATTTTTATTCATTTGCTCATTGCGCATGTCAATTTCATTCACAGCAGAAAACAGCAGCGCCGTAGTGTTAAATCCGCTATAAGCCAAAAGCCAAATATACACAAAAGTTTATAAATAAATGTTAAACAAAACAAAAAAAAAAAAATAAACCAAAAATTAGAAAATTAATTTTTTCTGATTTTACGAAATTTGAAGAAAATTTTCTATTAAATAAATATTGAAGTTAATTTTAATGAACATTAAGTTTTTATATGGAACATTAATGAGCGAACAATTATTTGTCGGTCTTAACCTCAAAAATATTCGTTCGTCGTAATTACCAAAAAATGAGTTTACCTTTCAATTTGGCCTATAATCATTAAAAACTTAATATATTGTATATGTATAATTGTCTCTATATACACACATACATATATGTATGTATATATAAATCTTATCTTACACTTTGTTCAAAAATTTTCATATAATTACTAAACTAATATTTTTTTTCTAGTGTCATTATGATTTCTGGTTTTGTCATTAACGCTTTTTTCTCTGCTTTTCGTTACGTTGCCAAAAATTGGTACTTGGCCTAGAAACTCTTTAAGCTCTTGTAAATTGCATTATTTCTTTATTATAAACTGATATACATATATGTATAATATAATTTCATATATAAATCTATTCGGTACAACAATACGTTATGATGATTTGACTTAATTTTCTATAGGTTAAAAAAGCAAAGAATTAACTTTGTTAAATTGGAAAAAAAAAGATTCTTTTATTATAAGTGCGTGCTTTTTTATCTTTAACTTCTTTTATAAAATAAGACTTGACCCTCTAACATAGATTGTTTAAAAAAAAATTAATATATTAACGAGCAGAAAATCTTTTCAATTATTATCTATTAAAGCACGTTATAGGGAAAGGGAAAGAGGGAAGAGAGCCAATATAACAATATTACATATTTAAAATATTAGTATTAAGTTAAAAACATTCTTCAATCAAGAAATGTCAGTCCATGTCTCAATTGCCTACTTTTGCTTTAATTCAGACCTCGTCTGAGATTTGATTTTCTTATACCTGATAGTGAAGACTTGATAAAATGTTCTTTGTTAACATGGCAGACATTTACACTGGCGAATAAATTAAATAGATTAAAGAGTTAGCAGTGT